CCTTGTTATAAACCTTGGGCAAAATAGATGATTGATCATTAGAATATCCTTAGGTACAGATTATCTATCTCTATTCCAACAGGGATATCAGGTCCTCAAGATTTAGAAACTTCTGGTCATCAATTAATGATATCTCTAGATACCACTGCATGCTCAGTTTCCATGGATGAACCCACAGGACGAAGCCTGCTTATTCCCTGAAATTCTACTAAACCTCTGCTTCTCAAATTTGTATTATGGACAACTATCTTCAAAATTAATGTCACAAAACTGTCCTAAAACCAAGACATGTGAGTATTTGCCACTCAGAGGTGCACATAATCAATCTTAGAGAGAAATAAAACCCTAGATTTGATACTTGAATCATGAGAAAATCTACAGTTGATGCCCAAAACGTTTTATTTGAAGTCCAGAATCTTTCCTCAGGACATGTGCTGAGAAGAAGCAATGTAAATGAAAGGTACATAAGGATTCATACTCTCTGAGGAAAGGGCTCCAGTTGGGGCAATGGATGCTATTTTTTCTTTTTAGAAAAATATTTTGATTGACTTCAGATTGGAAGGGAGGAGAGAAAGGTAAAAACATCACTGATAAGAGAGAATCACTGATTGGTTGCCTCTTGCACATCCCCCATCGGGGATCAATCAAGCCTGCAACCCAGGCATGTGTCCTTGACCAGAACCTAACTTGAGACCCTTCAGTCCTCAGGCTGATAGTCTAACCACTAAGCCAACCAGCCTGGAGTTCTTTTTCTTTTTTCTTTTTCTTTTTTTTTCTTTTTTAATGATGTCTTAGCCTGAAGAAGTTTCCTTTGCATTTTCTAACTCAGGAACATTTTTGTAACTTGTTTCACATCTTAAACTTGTATACCTGTTCCACAGAGTTCAGGTTTTTCTTAATGAGTTCTGGTTTCAGTTATTGTGGCAATAGGGTAAAAGGAAAACAGAGGTCAAGGGAGTATAAATAAGAATTTAATTCCCCCGATGTCTATGAGAAAGGCACATGTGAGAGAGAGACAGAGACAGAGGGAAGTTGGATATACCTATCTGATAGTTATCTATTCTATAACTATTTTTGAATCCCCTCCCCCCATAGATCTTCCAGAAATGGAGAACCGAAGAACTGCTTGTGAGACAGGGACCAGAGCAGATACTGGCCAAGCAGCCCAGTGTTTCCATTTCTCTCTCTCTCTCTCTCTCTCTCTCTCTCTCTCTCTCTCTCTCTCTCTCTCTCTCTCTCTCTCTCTCTCTCTCTCCCTCTCTCTCTCTCTTTCTCTTTTTAATATATTTTATTGATTTTTTACAGAGAGGAAGAGAGAAAGATAGAGAGCTAGAAGCGTCAATGAGAGAGAAACATCTACCAGCTGCCTCTTGCACACCCCCTACCGGGGATGTGCCCGCAACCAAGGTACATGCCCTTGACCAGAATTGAACCCGGGACCCTTCAGTCGGCATACCGACGCCCTACCACTGAGCCAAACCGGTTTAATGAGCAGGTTGGGAGCAGTGGAGAATGAAAATGCCAGGCACGCGCTGCAGGAACACTGCTTCCTGTAGCATCTGCCCTGCTGTCTCACTGGAGGGGAGAAGAGGCTTTACTCACGCCTGAGGACAACTGCAGCCCTCAGCTCCCTGGAAAGAGCGAGGCTGGACGGGAAAGGGAAACATTGACCTACATGCCTAACTGCTGAGGAGCCCGTACAGAACCCCTGCCCTGCCTCTATCACTGGAAGTCAGTGTGTGAACCAACCCCTGAAACATGGAGACATGCCTGGGCAAACAGAGGAAAGACTTTCTAATGAAAGAGAATTACTATCAGAATACAAAAGAATGTCAAATAATTTTTACCTATTATATTCACTTAGATTTAAAAAAGCTATTCCCATACTTGAAATAAAGGAACTAGTAGCTACAAAAAGATAAAACTTTATTTTATAATAAAAAATAATTACTAAGTGCTCAGTAAAAGTACAGTTACCCACAGGCAGAATGTTATCCAGTAGACCTCTAGAACATATTCATCTTGCATAACTGTTGAACTGCAATGTGATTGAAAGCAAACTGTCACACAGCAAATGCAAAGAGAATGTTTAGAGAAAATAAATTACAACCTAGAATTATATACGAGAAAATGATAAGATCAAATATATTTGAAGATTTCAAAAACAGAATATTGGGTGCAGGTTAAAATGGGTCAATGGGGAAATAAAGTGGACATCTGTGATACTTTCACCAATAAAGATTTTTCAAAATAGATAAATATGAAACAATGTCTATTATGCAAAAAGATGAGATTAAAAAGGATGTGGTTCATTAATCTAGTTTCAAAACACAACAAAGGTCTAGTATTTGAAGTATATTAATATTCATTCCTAGCATTCACTATTTGAACTCACAGAGAAAATTAATCAATACCAATTTGGATTACTGCTCATGTGCTAGGAAATGAGAAAGTTAGTGTAAACATTCTATTTTTCTTTTCTTTTTATTTTATGTTTATGTTGATGTCAAAGAGAGTGAGGAAGATAAGAGAGAGAGAAACATCAATGGTAAGAGAGAATCATTGATCTGCTGCCTCCTGCACATCTGCTTCTGAAGATGGAACCTGTAACCCAGGTATGTGCTCTGACCAGAAATCGAACCATGGTCTTCTGGTTTACGGGTCAATGCTCATACACACTAGTCAGACAAACGTTCTATTTTTCAATTTCCACATTACGTTAAAAAAAATAAACTTCATAGAGGAAGGGAGATGGAGAAATAAAACATCAACGCTGAAAAAATCATTGATTGACTGCCTCCTGCTCACCCCACTCTGGGGATAGAGCCTACAACCCAGGTATATTCACTGACCAGGAATAAAATCTTGGCTTCCTCCTGGTTCATAGGTAAATATACAACCACTGAGCCATGCTAGCCAGGCTCACACAGTATTCTTATCATGTTCTAAGTATTTTTATGTCTAATGATAACTGTATCCAATTTAACTTAATCTAAATTAGGCTGGTAAATAGCAATATGAGTGTGATTATGAAATTCTATCTGATTTCAAAGTAAAGGCTCTTCACTGTTCAGTGTTCACTCTTTACATATCACCTGCAAAAGCATCTTGATCATTAAGTATTCAACTTGTTTTTAACCATTACCATGAGCAGCTCTTGCTTCATTAATGGCTATGTAAATTGAGAATGTCATTCACTATTTCCTGGCACCTAAGATTTTCTTATAATGCTCCAAGCTCCTTCTATAAATCAGCATTTCCTGGTTTTTCCCTCCTAGCCCCATCCTAGGGAATTTGATACCTATGTTTTTTTGGAAAGTGAACTGCAGAAACAGCATTGGAGCTGCAGAAACACAGACCCAGTTCTAATTCTGCCTCATCTGCTCATTAGCCATGGGACATTGGGACATACTTCAAAGTTTATAAATTCCTTCACCTCCCTGAAGGAATTCATCCTTTTCAGATATAATTGAAAATTAACTTGGATAAAGATACTCTCTATAAATTTACACATATCATTATATATATATTTTTTTTTCTGTGTGCATGTGTGAGTATAAGTGCATGTACATACCTTTCCCATGCTGAGTACTCTCTTTTACATTCCACTGGGACATGTTATTACCCCTCTATGTCTTGGTTTGGGTTCTGTGCAGTAGCCACCCTAATTTTTTTTTCATTTTTTAATTAAGGTGTACATATCCTACCATTGCCCTCCCCACCCCATACCCATACATGCCTTCACCACCAATGTTTTGCATCCATTGGTTATTCTTATATGCATGCATATAAGTCCTTCCTCCTATAAATTGACAGTCTTTACTGTCTCTGTACCTATCTTTTTGTTCATCAATTTTTAATGTTTTTTATTATCCACAAATGAGTGAGATCATATGGCATTTTTCTTTCATTGACTGGCTTATTTCACTTAGCATAATGTTCTCCAATTTCATCCAGGTTGCTGCAAATGGTAAGAATTCCTTCTTTTTTATGGCAGCATAGTATTCCATAGTATTCCTAGTTTTCTGACCCAGTCATCGGCTGATGGGCACCTAGGCTGTTTCCAAATCTTAGCTATTGTAAATTGTGCTGCTATGAACATAGGTGTGCATATATCCTTTCTTATTGGTGTTTCCATTTTCTTAGGATATATTCCTAGGAGTGGGATTACTGGGTCAAATGGGAGTTCCATTTGTTCTCCACAGTGGCTGCACCAGTCTGCCAGTTAGGGAGATCAGGCTGTCATGGGAGAGCAGTTAGGGGGATCAGGCCAGCAGGCAGGTGAGAGGTTAGGAGCCAATGGTCCCAGATTGTGAGAGGGATATCCAAGGGGTCCTGGATTGGAGAAAGTGTATGCTGGGCTGTGCACCAGACCTCTAGTTTATTATAATAGTGCAGGACTCTTAAAAAGGTGCTTTACATTGAGTGAATGTTAGTTTTACACAACAATGTTAAGTTAGGTACAGTTTATCATCCAAATTTTATTTTATGAGAAGAAAAAAATGTATTCATTGTTAACATCATTAAGAGAGAGAGAGGATTTAAACTCAAACACTCTGAACAAAAAATATTCACTCTGAGTACATATGTTGCATTTGTGTGCTCCCCCAAATCCCACATAAAATACTCTCTGGACAACCTGCTGTATGTCGAGCAACCAACAAACTTACACTCAAACACTCCTTAGTTGTGGTGGTGATTATGGATTGTCCTAAGGTCATGGTTGGCACCTCTTCAAGTTAGTGATAAAGGAAGATATGGAGAAATGGGAGGGCAGAGATATTACACCAGTACTTCTCGGTTTTTAAGAGGGATTACATGTCTTCTGTTGATAATACAGAAAATGAGTAACTGAGTAAATAAGCTTCTCTTCTAAGCCAAGAATCAACAAATATTATACAGAAGGAAGGCAACAAATGAGAGAAGGTCTGAATGGAGCAGTGGGCTCAGATTCAGTGACAAAGGTCACTACACAGAAGTGGGTGAGGGAAGGAGAACATTCAGGAGCTTGGTGGGCAGAGAGTCATGGGAACAGGACATTTACAAGGATTGAAATAGGGATAAACTGTCTGGGAAAAGTGACATTTAGAGAACTTGTAGATGAGTGACCCATGGTTTGTGACGTTAAAAAATGAGACAGTGCTTGCTTCGTAGTCTAGAAAAACCCCCACTCGATGGGGAGCAACAGCCATGGGAAGAGTCAAGACCTTGGGATCAGAGGTGGCAGAGTCCTCAAAAGCATTGTACTCAGATTCATTCTGTAACCCTACAACCCAGTAGCCATTTTCAGGTCTGAATCTGGTGTAAGCATTTTGGTAATTTGCATATGGGTTAAAAACAAACCCAGAGCTTTTTTTTCTATTGAGATTACTTGTCTTGCTATGCACCCCCAAGGTCCAGGCAATCTTATTGGATACATCAACTTCCCAGTAATATTTTCCTGAGGAGAAATTTTGGCTGCCCAAGACATCAAGAGAAGAAAAATCACGTGGATATACATTCCCAAACATAAAATAGTTCCCAACTATCATTTGTCTCCGATCTTCAGAAATGATAATATTTGACAGAGTGTTGAGTGGATTCAGCATCAAGTTCACTGTAAGGAAAAAATACACAGTTGGGTGAATTAAATATGGCATGTGTCTTGAGACATTGTGAGAAGGAATATGGGAAATTGACTTGGAAGAGCATAAGTCCAAGGGTCAATGATGAGTAGATCAATTAAGGACTGTTGTATGTATACTTGTTTGGATGGAACACATGTAACTCAGGTCATGGGACCTAAGAGTAAACACAGCTTCTGAAAAGGGATCAAAACACGGTGATTTGAAGAACTTGTAACTTCTTACCCCAGTAGTTTTGGGCTTCTGCCAGCTCTGAAATGACAAAAGTTTCAATGATGTTAGAAGCAAAAAAGGTAACTCTGATACCTGTCTTTTCTCTAGAGTGGAAACAGGGTAGGGGAAGCCTGTGAGGTTGTCAACTGGTGAAGGAGGACAGCTGGCCATTCCCACTTAGATGTGTTCACATCTTCAGCACAGGGTATCGAGGTCTTCTTGTGAAGACTACTGCATCACTTTTTATCCTTATATAGAAAAGCACCCATTATCCCATGTACTCTGGTACTATAAGAATCTCCCCCATACACACATCCTTCCTCTGGCTCCTCACCTTTAAACACTTGCAGCAAATGAGGCAGATCTGGAAATCGGAACGCACTCTTTAGTTTCTTCAAAACAATTTTTGGCATCTTCAAGGTGCAGGTCTCACTCCTAGAAAAGCCATAAATTGACCCTTCATACTTCTTACCTAATGTCTCTCTAAGACCACTGTCTCTCTCATCTTTCATTCCATTGATGCCTTATCATTTGAGGGAGGGACAGGTGAGAGCCCTGACACTGCAACCAGAAGGAATGTTTTTGCGATTGCCTTTCTATTTACTCCCCTTGTGACCTTGGGAAAAACTTCTTCCCATGAAGCTCATGTTCTTCCTTCCAAAATGGAAAAATTAACTCCATACTCACTACTTCTTAAAATAATATGCTATTAGATGTAATGGCGGCACCTTTAAAAGTTGTCTGGTGCCTCTAATAAAAAGTACTTCACATATGGAGGAGTTACTGCCATCTCAGATGCTTAGTGGGGAGGCTCTAGGACAGCGGTTCTCATCCTGTGGGTGGCAACTGCTTTGGGGGTCAAACAGCCCTTCCAGAGGGGTTGCCTAAAACCATTGGAAAACACAGATACTTACATTACGATTCATAACAGTATCAAAATTACAGTTATGAAGTATCAACGAAAATAATTTTATGGTTGGGAGTCACCACAACATGAGAAACTATTAAAGGGTTGCGGCATTAGGAAGGTTGAGAACCACTGCTCTAGAACCTGGCTACTGAGAGCTTTAAGTTATCAAGTATGGGGCCTGTGTATTGCAAATCTGAAGTGTTTTCTGTGTCCATTATTTCAGTACAGATGCCGAGTATCCTACCTAATAAAAGAGTAATATGCAAATTAACCACAATTCCACTAAACCTACAAGCCACATCCACCAGCCAATCAGAGAAAGTATGCAAATTAACCCCAACCAAGATGGCTGCAGCCACAGAGAGCAGGATAGAAGCTTGGTTTTCCCTGGCTGGCCTAGACCTCCATTCAAGAATACAAAGTTTCAATTATAGAAGATAAATCCCAAGAAAAATGGCGGCAGCCACGGAGCTGGAGAGAACAGGCTAGGGTTGCCCCTGGCAATGGAGGAAGCCAAGCTTTCCACCTGCCCTGACTAGCCTAGGCCTCCACTCAAGGCTATAAAGTTTCAATTATGGAAGGTAAACAAATCCAAACAGAAATGACGGCAGCCATGGAGCAAACAGGGGGCTTGGCTGCGCTCTAGGCTACAAAGTTTCAATAGTAGAAGGTAAATAAATTCCAGATACCAGGGCCTCCACTTGGGCTGCTGAGGGGCATGGCTGTCTGCAAACCACCACAGACCCCTTGCCAAAGCTGCCCCACACCCCAAGGGAACCACCACCCTGATCCAGGACACCCTCCAGGGCCCCCAGCTATGCACCAGGCCTCTATCCTATCTAATAAAAGAATGATATACAGATTGACCATCACTCCAACACACAATCTGGCTGCCCCCATGTGGTTAAAGATCATGCCCCCATGTGGATGCAAGATGGCCAGCAGGGGAGGGCATTTAGGAGGCACCAGGCCTTCGAGGAAGGGCAGTTGTAGGCAATCAACTGTGCAGGGGAGGGCAGTTAGGGGTGACCAGACCTGCAGAGGAAGGAAGTTGGGGGCATATAGGCTGGCAGGGAAGCAGTTAGACATCAATCAGGCTGGCATGGGAGTGGTTAGGGGGTTATCAGGCTGGCAGGCAGAAATGGTTAGGGGCTATCAGGAGGGCAGGCAGGTGAGTAGTTGGGAGCCAGCAGTCTTGGATTGTGAGAGGGATGTCCCACTGCCTGTTTACACCCTATCCCAGTGGCAGTTGAACATCCTCAAGGGGTCCCATATTGAAAAGAGTGCAGGCTGGGCTGAGGGACACCCCCACACACCCTGTGCATGAATTTCATGCACTGTGCCTCTAGTAACATATAAAGTCATATTCCCTGGGGAATCATTTCATTTGGGAAAGGAGAAGTTAATACAGCCAAATTACCAGTGGTCAGAATTTCATATGCTTGATGCTGCCCAGAGGGTAGGCAAACTATAAACAAAGAAAGCCATTTTTCCTAGCAGTTCCTAACACATGTAAACAGAAAAGAAATACATTATTGACACCAGGACTAAAGTCACTATTCCCTGAGATTTGAGTCTTAAATTAATTAATTAATTAATTAGTTAGTTAATTGGTTGCAATCCAAAGAGCATCACCTAGAAAGACCTTGTTTCACTATGGAGAAATGGATATGTAAGGAAAATGTCCTTGTGGAAGATTTGGGAACCTGTGAGGTAAAGAGGAGCAGATCCTCCCTGTGATAAGATAAGCACCTGTTAAGTATAGAGCAAGAGATTAAGGTTTGCCAAAACCAGTTTGGCTCAGTGGTAGAGCTTCGGTCTGTGGACTGAAAGGTCCCAGGTTCGATTCCAGTGAAGGGCATGTACATTGGTTGCAGGCACATCCCTGGTGGGGATGTGCAAGAGGCAGCTGATCGGTGTTTCTCTCTCATCAACGTTTCTAGCATTCTATCTCTCTCCCTTCCTCTCTGTAAAAAATCAATAAAAATATATTTTTTTAAAAAGAGAGAGATTAAGGTTTGATTAAAGTAGTGAGGTCATGGTGTTCTCATACTGTAACCTATTTTTTTAAATTTCAAATCATTTTCATTTTTAAATTACAGTGGACATACAATATTACATTAGTTTCAGGTGTTCATCCCAGTGATTTGACATTCTAAAACTTACTAAGTACTCATATCCCCAATCTCATACCTATCTGACACCATACCTAGTTATTTCACCCATCCATATGGCAACTGTCAGAATGTTCTCTGTATCTTTGAGTCTGTTTCTGTTCTGCTTGTTTGTTTTTAATTGTTGACAGATATGTTTTTATTAGCATTTCATTGTTCATATTTTTAATTTTTCTGTTTCTTCTTAAAGAATGTCTTTCAACATTTATTTTTAAAATATATTTTATTGATTTTTTTTTTTTTTTTTACCGAGAGGAAGGGAAAGGAATAGAGAGTTAGAAACATCAATGAGAGGGAAACATCAACCAGCTGCCTCCTACACACCCTCTACTGAGGATGTGCCAAAACCAGAGTACATGCCCTTGACCATAATCGAACCTGGGACCCTTTAGTCCGCAGGCTGACACTCTATCCACTAAGCCAAAGTGGTTAGGGCACATTTCAACATTTAATGTAATACTTGTTTGGTGGTAATGAACTACTTTAACTTTTTCTTATTATGAAGCTCTTTACCAGACTTCAGTTCTTAATGAGAGCTTTGCTAGTAGAGTAATCTTAGTAGTAGCTCCTTGCTTTTCATCACTTTGAATATTTCATGGCACTCCCTTCTGGTCTGCAAAGTTTCTTTTGAGAAATCAATGGACAATCTTATGGGGAGGTAACGAATTACTTTTCTCTTGCTGCTTTTGCCTGGTTGGCATGGCTTACTGGTTGAGGGCCAACCTATGAACAAGGAGCTATGGTTTGATTCCTGGTCCAGACACATGCTCAGGTTATGGGCTCAATCCCCAGTGTCGGGTGTGCAGGAGGCAGCCAATCAATGATTCTCTCTTACCATTGATGTTTCTATCCCTTTTTTACTCTCCCTTCCTCTCTGAAATCAATAAAACTATATTTTTTAGCCCAGACCGGTTTGGCTTAATGGATAGATTGTCAGCCTGCAGACTAAAGGGTCCTGGGTTGGATTCTAGTCAAGGTCATGAACCTTGGTTGTGGGCACATCTCCAGTAGGAGGTGTGCAAGAGGCAGCTGATTAATGTTTCTCTACCATCGATGTTTCAGACTCTCTATCCCTCTCCCTTCCTCTCTGTGAAAAATCAATAAAATATATTTTAAAAATAAAGAATTTATAAACTCATCACAAAAATTCTAAAAACATATGTATTTTTTAAAATAAGATTCTTATTTTGTCTTTAATTTTTGACATTTTTAAACTTTAAATATATACTTACTGTTGGTAGTATTACAGATATCCTCCATTCCCTTCACCTCTTATCCATCTCTAGCCAGCCTCTACCTCTCCAAGGCCTTCATTACACTATTGTCTGCATCCATGGCCTATGCATATAAGTATATAAGTTCTTTGGTTTATCTCTTCTTGTCCTCCTCCCTACCGCCCCCGAGATATGTCCATCTGTTTCTAGCCTCCATGTCTTGGGTCTTATTCTGTTGGTCAATTCATTGTGTTCATTAGATTCCACAAATAAGGGAGGTCATCTGATATTCCTCTTTCTTTTATTGGCTTATTTCACTTAAGCTAATAGTCTCTAGGTGGCATTTTAATTATAATGTGTCTTGGTATAGGCCTCTTTGCATCCTTCTTGTTTGGGACTCTTATTTCTAATGCTTCTATTATCCCAAAATCTGTGACCTCACACCACCCACATTCCATAGCATTACAAAGTTTCACCTGTTATCCACAATTTGAAATAATGTAATACCCAAGTTTACTACATCTGTCATTTTTTAAAATTATGATTGATTCAAGATACTCTTATAGCTATAATATTGTCATCATACAAAAAAAAAAAAAATAAAGACCATGCTTGGCCTCACACACATACCTTTTAAAGATGTTTAAGGTGTTAATCATATCCTGGAGAAAAGAGAGAAAACATTAAGTCCAGAGTAAGGTTGCCAGATTGAGAGATTAAAATGGCTAGTTAAAATGTAATTTTGAATAAATCATAAATATGTTTCAGTATAAGCATGACCTCTGAAATAGTTAAGATACACACTAAAAAATAATGTGTTATTTATTTGAATTTCAAATTTAGTTACACATTCCTTATTTTGTCTGGCAACCATCAAAGGAGTGATAAGTTTTCCTATCTTTCAAAGTTTTACTCACCTTCCTCTTCACATCCCTAGCATCCTTGATTTGGCTTAAATAAATAGATGGTCAGAATGTAGATGGGGGACAAACCGTAGAGATAAGACCCAGACTAACCATCTTAGAGGACTCATGTAAGGATAATAAAATCCTTACAGAATCTGAAAACAGAATATATTTAAAAGGAAGAGAGTAGGCTCCTATTTCTTTATACACATTCAAGAGAAGACCCCCTTAATTTATTATGAGTTTATATATTCCAGTGACAACAGAAAAATTATTTTTAGACATAATTCCAAACTCTGGGGAATCAAAGATGACTAATTAATACTTACATTTCTCAGGATGTATATTTTTCTTTTGCTGTAGGAACAAGCAAACTAGCACTTCAAGCAAATGTTTTTCTCTGTCTTCCTCTACTCACTCTATATATAGTTTACACAGTACCCTACGGGAATCACATCAATGTGTAAGTATGGTATAAGTCACAGACACCAGTAGCAGAGAATGTCTAAAATGAAATTGACTGTGTCCCAGACATTTACATTCCATTGTCCATAATAGTATCAATATCTACTTCATCACTGTCTTTAATTAAAAAGTGTATCTTATCCTGGCTGTGCCTCAGTGGGTGAGCATTGACCCATTAACCAAGAGATCATGGTTGAATTCCTGGTCAGGGTGCATGCCTAAGATGCAGGCTCAATCCCAGGAGGGGGCATACAAGAGGGAGTTGGTCAGTGATTCTGTCTCATTATTAATGTTTCTATTTCTCTCTTTTCCTCTCCCTTTCTCTGAAATCAATAAAAACATATTTTTAAAAAATGTTTTAAAAGTGTTTTATTCTGAATTCCAACATTGCATTAAGCCAGTTCAGTCCTTCTTTTAGCCATCTACTCTTTCCTATCATAACATTATTTGCTTTATTTATTTGAACAAAAATACACCAATATATTTGGTTTCATCCTATTTAGTCTAAACCCTTTTATACCAACAAAGCCTTGGCTACTAGTTGGCTGTACCTGCTCAAAAAGTTTTACATTCTGTGTTAAGGTTTTTGTTGTCTGATAAGATAAAAAACAAAACAAACAAATGAACAAAAACAGCTAAAACTGCCTTAATTTTTTTAAAAAAGGAAAAACTCGGGTAACAGGCAGAACTTTTGCATTAGCTAGATTTCTAGAAAAAAATATTGTTACCAGGGTCTTTTCTTTCTCAAAACTCTCAAAATTTTGAGAATAGAATTCTCAAAATTTTATTTTCTACCTGCTATTTGGACTTTCTTTTCATTCTTTATAAGGCAACAACTTGAACATCCTTGTTTAAGTGATAATCCTGAACATATCATGTAGCAGAAAAGATAATTTCTCTTTCTAAGCATAAGAATAAAATTCTAGGCATACAAATCATTGCCCTGAATGGGTCAGGTGCATATCTTCAAATAATTACTGCATCTTTGGAATAGATATGCTATTTTAGGAATTAAATATGCTGATTTACCTAGAATTGAGAGACACATATATCCCTCATGCTATTAATATTCTCTAATCAGCTGCATGGACATATGATAGAGATGGGTTCCTAAAAAGGTAATTTAAGAGATGGTTATATATATAAAAAAAAAAAGTAATTGAATGATGTTGGGTAGACAAACAACTGTCTCATACAGAAACTGTCTATTTCTTAGAAGACTGCCATCTTCTCAATCTATAAAAATCTCAGCAGGATTTTAATAAAAATTAGCAAGATATAAAAAAATTTCATAGAAAATTTTATGGACATAGGATAGTATTTCTGGCCCAGGTAATTGCAATGGGGTCTGCTCTGTACTTTGTATCTGGATGAACAGCAACTCTGCCTTCTACCCACTAGATGGCAGTGCAATCCTAGGATCCCTGGGGCACCATTTCTTAAAATGATCTTAGAGAACAAGTACATTAGAATTGTTTTGAAATTGAATTGAATTGTTTCACTTCTTTTCAAACAACTTTTAAGGAGAAGAAATGTTCTATGAAGTCACAATAATGGAAAACTTAGAGTATATCAAAGGTAACAAAATAATTCAGAGGAGGAGGGGAGAGTTTTTAATAAATGTCAAACTGAATCTCTACATGGTTTAACAATTCAGTATATTTACTACAATTATTTGAATTGTATACTTGCAATGAATAGATTTTTCGTGTATTTTATACCTCAAAAACATGTTTTTAAAAAGAAGTAATGATCCAGGAAATGAAAATTAATTATTTCGGTATTGGGAATGAAGTTAAGAAATTCTTGTTCAGCTATCAAAAAAGAACGCAAGAGGTCAGAGAAATGAAATAATCTGAATTTCCAATGTTTCATAGCTTAAAATTACAGTCATGAAGTTAATTCCATGAAAAAAAATAATAACATTCTTACTGGGTTCAATTTATTTATTGAGTATATGTTCCCTCCTAATACTTCCCTAAGCAGTGTGTGCACACACGCGCGCGCACACACACACACACACTCACACACAGAAGCACACATACATATTCATAAATACTCATCCTTCACACAGGTGCCATTACATTGCCACTTCTTAACAATACAATAATAAAATCAAACATAAAGAGAGATATGAATTGTTTGACTAGGCTTAATAAAAAAAATCTTACAAATGCTAGATTACAGATAATAGAAGCCTATTAAAATCTTCTTTCAAAAGTTTTCAAAACCTTTTATAAAATATCTAGAGGCCCAGTGCATGAAATTAGTGCACAGGGGGTGGGGGTTCCCTCAGCTCGGCCTGCATCCTCTCCAATCCGGGACACCTCAGGGGATGTCCAATGGACATCCCTCTCACAATCCAGGACCACTGGTTCCTAACCACTTACCTACCTACCAACCTGATTTCCCTAACTGCTTCCCCCCTGCTGGCCTGATCCCCTAACTGCTCTTCGCTGCTTGCCTAATCCCCCCAACTGCTCTCCTTTGCCCTCCTGATCACCCCTAATTGCCTCTGCCTTTGCCTCACCACCATGGCTTTTTCCAGAAGGACAACCAGAAGGTCATCCGGAAGACGTTTGGTCTAATTAACATATTACCCTTTTATTAGTATAGGTAATCATGTGAATTTCCCTTTCCATTTGTACATTAAATTTTCCCAGTGACCGATGAATGACATGGAGATCTGTGTTCCAGAGGAGGAACACTGGATGATCAAACATATCTTTCCTACCCAAAGGGGAAGGAAGCTTAATCTCTGTGATTCCCCAAAATCACATATGTAGGTGCTCTGGCCCAAGTCTTACCTGCAACATGTCTATAGATAATTCACACATACGACTTTGGAGATCTGAGATGAGCTCTCTCATGTACTGCTTCTCTTGGATCACCTGGTCTTCAACCACTGCCAAGTTATTCAGCACATGCTCTTCGTGTTCCCTCAGCTTTTGCAGCTCCCTGTGCTTCTTCCTGTCCAGGATTTCTTTCATTTCATCAAACCCTTTTCGAATCCTCTCTGTCTCAGCCTGCATGTGATTTTGGGGGGAAGAGAAGAGAAAGAGGCAATCAGGGTGTCTAGCTGAGGGCTTACTTTTTATGGGCCTTGGGATCCAAGACAAAAACTACTTTTCTCAGGTACTTAGGAGGTAAAAGGAAATGAGCCATTTCTGGGGAAAGCATTTTTCCAACTATTTTCCCTTGAACTGTTTCCAAGCAATTTATTCAAGATTATTATACTTTCTCAAGGCCCACCAGGAAATACAATGTGCTACCTGAATGAGCCACCTGTCTTGGATAATTATGCCACACTGCCTATGAAACTCTTCCACCCATATCTCCAAAGCAGCGAATCCTGAGCCTGCCTTAACATTTCTTCTGGAAGTATCAGATCCTCAAACTTGATGACTGAAATGGGACACGGATGCACAAATCACTTTTACATTCGTCCTCTCTATATCGTTGCCTCTAAACAGTTGCTTTGACTTGGGAGTGTCTACTCTGTAGGAAAGGAATTGAATGAGGACTGGGCAAAAGTCTTCTGGACCCATTAATTCTGAGGTAAGAAAGAGGAAGAAGCGCCAGGCTGGGAGCGGCCAGGCCCGGGGGAGCAGCCGGGTCGGGACCAGCCAGGCCCAGAGCAGCGGCTGCCAGGCTGGGAGCGGCCAGGCCCAGAGCAGCCAGGTCGGGTGCGGCCAGGCCTGAAGCAGCGGCTGCCAGGCTGGGAGCGGCCAGGCCCGGAGCAGCAGCAGCCAAGTCCAGAGCAACTAGGTCGGGAGCGGCAGTGACCAAACCCGGAGCAGCTTGTTGTGGAACGAACCAGAGCAACAGAGGCCAGGCACTGAGCAGCCAGGCCCGGAACAGCTCGCTCCTCGCCTGCCCCCGCCCCATGGCTGCCTCTCAGACATGGCTGGAAACTTCCGCGGGAACTTGAGTGTCTGCTGAATCAAGTGATGAAGGCTTAGATCTGGATGTGTTGAGTTGGTTTAGGGCTGGGGTGTTGATCTGTGAGTGCCTTGGGTGGGGCCTGGATGAGGCTGATGGACCTATTGGGAAATGTCTTTTGTGTGAAGTGTATCATTGGGCATGTGGAGGTATTATTGATATGAGAAAATGCTAAGTAACTGAATTACTATCTGAAAAGGGATTTACTATCGGGGAAAGGGAGGGAAGAAGAGACTGAACATAAACTGTGCACCTATGGATGAGGACAATTGGGGTTGGGGAGGGGGCGGAGGGTGGGGTAGGAACCTGGTGGAGGGGGGAAGAAATGAGGAACCTTTGTAATAATATGAACAATAAAGATTGATTTAAATAAATAAAAAAAAAGCCTCCTTGTGATTGGACAAGGTGCTGCTCAGTTTGCTGTTTTAGAGCTGCCTCAGGAATAATGTCTTTTTACCTTCCTGGTAGCTCTCTCTTCATTGATGACAGCTTCCAACTCCTCAACTTCCAGCTGCTCCTGCATCAACCTGTCCAGCGCTGCCTCTAGCTTCTCCTGTGAGAAAGGAACCACCAAAGTCAAGCTATGAGTTTTCTCAGCACATGGACAGAGGATAAATGAAGAAGAAATCAGGCTCAACTCAGAAGAGACTAGAATTTCAGAACTGAAACTAGCAATCAGAACTGAGAATGCAGACAGAAATCTGAGGAAGTATGTGTGTCCTTTATTCCAGGATGATGCAAGTGTCCATCTCTGTTTCAAGAGTAGTTTGGATTTCCCTTTTTCCCTAGAGAAAGAACTGATCCTGCAGCAAGTAAAGTCTTTTTGTTCTTCAGAACACTCTTCCCAGATCTAACCAACCATGTTCCTAAATATCCCATCTGTTCATGAGGGCAATCAGAACATATCTTGGGAAGCAACTCTGATTCATACAACTTCTCTTTGAGATGCATATTATTGAAGAAAATGAATGAATGCACAATCACGTCCCTCAGGCCTCAGAAGCTGAGTCAAGGTCTCTCAGGCCTCAGAAGCTGAATCGATAATATCAAAGAGAGTGCAGCATCAGTTCTACGATGACAAGGGAAAGAAATAGGATTAAGCAATAAAGATTTCACTTCAGGTGACATTCTGCCCAATGCTTCCACACTCTGGGGCCTACCTGACATTCCTTGACCACCTCCTCCACGCTAGATATTTGGTGGCCTTGGTGCTGCTCCTGGACACAGAGGCTGCAAATGGCCTTCCCATCCTCCTTACAGAAGAGATGGCAATTTTCCCCATGGTGCTCACAGAGATCTCTCCTCTGCTGTTGGTGGGGCCACATGTTGACTTCCTCAACTTTCTTCACTATGTTGCCCAACTGCTGAGTAGGCAGGAAGTTCCAAGGCTTGGATGTGCTCTTGCACACAGGACAGCAGTGTTGCCCTTCGAGGTGGCTCACTGACTCATTGTTTGCAGTGATACAGGCGCCGCAGAAGCTGTGGCCACAGTCCAGGATCAGGGGCTCTGTCAGGAGCTGCCGGCAGATGTGGCAGATCACCTCCTCGATTATGCTCCCCTGTGATGAAAAATCCATTGCTGTGCTCCTCTGGCTTCTTCCTGTCCTGACCCCAGAGGCTCTTCTTGCTCACAGACTCCTGTAAGGCTGGGAATATTGAAGGGGACAGGATAAGAAAGACAGGAATAGAAAGGATTCAGCTTGGGCAGACATTTAGAACAGGACAAAACTTTAATATTCAGTGAAGAAAGGAAAAGAGACGGAGAAGAATAATAGTCAGTGAAAGAATGAAAAGGTTCCTTTGTAATGAGTTCAAACACTTTACTTAGTGTATGTCACATGACAAATTTCACCCCATCAAGGCAATGCTTGCTGTTTTCTCGTTTACTATATGGATAGAGGACAAATTGAGGCCTTTCCTACCAAAAGCATTGTGTCACTCTTCATTATTCTTTTCTCTTCTTTCCTACTCTCAAGCATATCCAGTATGTTACATACATGAACCATGCTTCTACGTTGCTTTTCTCTCTGTGTGACTTACTTTATTTGAACAGTTTTACTGAGTTATATTTACATCACATGCATTCATTTTAAGAGTACGGTAATTTCTAATAAGTTTATGAGACAGAATAATTATCGCCACAATCCAATTCTAGAACATATCTATTTCTTAAAAACAAGCCTAATGCCCTTTCTGAACCCAAGTCTCAGGCTACCATTAATCTCACCTGTGTTTTTGTGGAATTACCTTTACTGATCAATTCGTAAGAGTAAAATTTTAATATATGGTCTTTTGAGTCTGATTTCTTTCACTTTGCATGTGTAATTATATTCAGAGTTCTTTCTTCTCCACTGCCTCTTTCCATCCAGTGTTTAGTCTGTACCACGTTAATGAACCTCATCATAAGATCTTTAGCTCTCATGTCACTTTGTTTCAAATAAATCATTTCAAAATAGAAGTCATCTTTATAAAACAAACCTAATTCATCCCTTTCTCTCATTGTCAGTTCATCAGCCCTCTTCTCATTAGGTCCCGTGCAAATGAGTCTTTTACCTAGATTCCAGGAATGGTTTTCCCACTAGTTTTCCTGATCCTATCACTGGTCTCATCGTCTGCTTGCATCCCTGTTCACCATCAGCCAGAGTGATTTTTATATATTTTTAACATATTTTTTATTGATTTCAGAGAGGAAGGGAGAGAGATAAAAACATCAATGATGAGAGAGAACCATTGATTAGCTGCCTCCTGCATGCCCCCTACTGGAAATCGAGCTTACAAACGCAACCTGGGCATATGCCCTGACCAGAATCGAACCCGTGACCTCCTGGTTCCTGGGCCAACTCTCAACCCGCTGAGCCACACCTAGTTGGGCTAGAGTGATTTTTTTTTTTTTTTTAAGTACACATTTACCCTACCACTCCTTTACTCAGATGCATGCCATCAGTGAATCCATGTTTTTTTTTTTTTCCTTTTTAATAAATTTTATTGATTTTTTACAGAGAGGAAGAGAGAGGATAGAGTTAGAAACATCGATGAGAGAAAATCATAGATCAGCTGCCTCTTGCACACCCCCTACTGGGGATGTGACCGCAACTAAGGTACATGCCCTTGACTGGAATCAAACCTGGGACCTTTCAGTCCACAGGCCAATGCTTTATCCACTGAGCCAAACCGGTTTTGGCAGTGAATCCATCTTTATCATAGCCTAGTTAGGCCTATATTAAACATCCCTTTCTATTGCCTTACCCACTCAACTTACTTCCCATCAAACCATACTGATTGCATTTATGTTCCTTAATCACTTAGGATAAAACATCCCTCATTTCCTCAAAGACTTTATTTATAAGTACTGTGCGCTAACCGATTGGGCCACTGGAGCTCCTCAAAGACTTTATTTAAAAGCGCCCTCTAACACTGAGAACTAAAATTTATTTAAGCCGAGATGCATTTGGCTCAATGGATAGAGTGTCGGCTTGGGGACTGAAAGGTCCCGGGTTTGATTCCAGTCAAGGGCATGTACATTGGTTGTGGGCACATCCCCAGTAGGGGGTGTGCAGGAGGCAGCTGATCGATGATTCTCTCTCATCGATGTTTCTAACTCTCTATCCCTCTCTCTTCCTCTGTAAAAAAATCAATAAAAAAAATTTAAAAAAAATAAAATTTATTTAAAACAATGAAGTCCTTTTACTAGGGCTCTATAGATACCTTGTTCTACTATAACCTTTTGGTTTATTATTGTTGTTGTTTCTCGTTTTTACAGGTATACCATAGGAATATCCATCTTATTTTATACCATCTTACTCTTTTATTTTTATTTTACTTTCTCTCCCCATCTCAAAATATAATTTTTATAGATACTTAATATTTATTGTACATTCAGTAGAAGTTAATGTAATTTTATGCCACAAGTTATTGATATTTTAATGTAAAATCTTTAAAATATTTAAAAACATTTTATCCTGTTTTGAGGGACCTGTAATAGCCCTTGAGAATGCAGTTAGTTTATACCAGATATGGACCTTGTCCAGGTATGAGTCACAGATCCATAATCTCTGAGACGGGGGAGGAAGTTAAATACACTTCAAAATCTATGTAACAGAGATATCAAGGTACAAATTGTTCAAAGGTGAGATTAAGATGGAGTTCTTTCTAAAAAAAAAAAAAAAAAAATGACAAACTCCCTTTCATAGCTCCAGGCAAGAGAAAAGTCAGTAAAGGGTTAAGGTAATAAATAATATAAGGATTATGTCCAGGATGATGCAGAATGCACTCTAAAGCCAGAGAGGGCATCTGAGAGTCATAGGGTGCCCTGAGGTAACATGCACTCAGGAGAGAATAAATTGTCTGTTCCAGAACCTTCATCTTTGAGAGACAAGTGGCCACATGGGGGCTACAGAGATAAGCAGCAACCTGGTTATCCAGCCTGTCTCATCAGGCTGGCCAAAGTGCTGGTCATTCATCAGGAAGGTTGTACACAGCTTCCCAGAAGTTACTGACTTAAGTAAAAGAATCAGCACTAAGGGAAAGAACAGTAGGTGGGTCAATTTGCATTCTGGAACTGGTTTGGCTCAGTGGATAGAGAATTAGTCTGCAGACTGAAAGGTCCAGGGTTTGATTCTGGTCAAGGGAATGTTCTGGTTGCAGGCACATCCCCAGTAGGGGATGTGCAGGAGGCAGCTGATCGATGATTCTCTCTCATAGATGTTTATAACTCTCTATCCCTCTCCTTTCCTCTCTGTAAAAAAACAAAACAAAACAATAAAATATATTAGCATAAAGTTTCCTCAAAAAACTGAAAATGGAACTCCCATTTGACCCAGTAATCCCACTCCTAGGAATATATCCTCAGAAACTGGAGATACCAATAAGAAAGGATGTATGCACCCCTATGTTCATAGCAGCAGAATTATATAGCTAAGATCTGGAAACAGCTTAGGTGCCCATCAGCAGATGGCTGAATCAGAAAACTGAGGTACATCTACACAGTGGAATACTATGCTGCCATAAAAAGAAGAAATTCTTACCATTTGCAGCAACCTGGGTGGAATTGGAGAACATTATGCTAAGTGAAATAAGCCAGTAAATGAAAGAAAAATACCATATGATCTCACGCATTTATGGATAATAAAGAAAATTATAAATTGTTGAACAAAAAGATAGATACAAAGACAGTAAAGCATCAAACAGAAGGTCAAATTACAGCGGGGAGGTTAGGGAGAGGTGGGGCGAGATAAGAGATCAACTGAAAGACTTGTGTGCATGCATATAAGCATAACCAATGGACGCAAAAGTTTGCGGGGTGAGGGCATGTATGGGAGTGAGATGGGGGGGGCAATGGTAAGATATAATACCTGAATTAAAAATGAATATATATATATATATATATATATATATATATATATATATATATATATATATAACAGCAGGTGTCATATACAGTCTCAAAGGTGACAAGAAATAGCCCCCCCAAGGCAGTCCAAGAAGCAGACCAAGGAGATGAATGAGGAAGAAAAGGCATTCCAACAGAAAGCAAAGACCAAAGGGAAAGGCCCCCAAAACACAGGTGAAATTAAGAAATTTGGCCAGAAATGAGCTGTTCCTTGTGCTTGGGGCAATGGTGATCCTAAATTCCATTCCTATTTGCACATCTGGATTCTTTGTGATAATATCTCCTACAGATAGAATGAAGAAGTGTTGTCTGTGAGCTAATTGTACATTTAAGAATAAAGTTTTGTAACAATAAATAAACAAACAAACAAATAAATAAAGCTAATATAACAAAAGAGTAAGAGACCAGCTTCAAGAAGATCTGATCGCTGGCAGAGCCCCTAAGAGCCTGTCCTTCCCACATTTCTCCTGCTGGCCTCACCAGGTGCTTGGGCATTATAAAGAGGGAGAACAGGGCTAATCTCTCAGGCTTCCTGGAGAGTAGGAGGAAGGGATTTTCTGTCTGGGAAAAGAAGAATATTCTGGCTCACCTTGGAAAGGTAAAAAGTCAAAACTACAGAACAGTAAGAAGATGAGGTAACTCAGACTGGAAAAATAATGGTCTCTCCAAAGAAACCCATAAGACTGCTCTTTTAAACGGCCCTTCTCTAACGATCAGTTTCCCCCCAGATTCAGTGTTCCTCTTTTCTGCCACCCCAGTAGAGATACTCAGCAGAGCAGCTTCAGAAACACAAATTAAGACACCAAACACATTCAGTCTGCTCCCCACAAACCTCCTGCCTTTTGTCTCCAGAAACTGCCCCACTTTCTTTCAGGACATGTATAGGAATCTTAACTCAACAGAGGAGATTAGCTGTAAGACAGGTCAATGTTCACTCACCAAGCCAGTGACCAGCCAGTTCCCCCACAGGAGTGGAGTGAGAAATGAAAGTTAAGTTCATAGGAGTGGAAAACAAACAAAGGAAGCAAAACAGAAACTTAAGAACAATAACAATGAGAAGCCATCACGTAGGACACTTAGGGAAATCAATGCTTCCATATGTTCTTGCAGTTTTACCCCTTTTGCAGATTATTCTAGCAAGAATATTTGAATAAGAAGAATGTGAAACCCAATGATACACTCTACAGCTATCCTGAATACCTGGAATTTCAATTTAATTCTATACCTACTAGTTAAGCTTATCCTATAGTCATGTCCAGAACTACTTACTAGGGATAAAATCATGATCCAGGACGTCTGGGTACCCGAGTGTGAGGGGGAAGATAATCAGTGATAGAACTCTGATAATTTGAGCTGAATCTGAACTTGGAATTTTAGGAAAGATTCTTCTTTCTAAGTAGCAGCTACAAATAGCTGGTATTTAGAATATTTTTTAAACCTATTGAGAAAATTTTCCCACAACACCACTGAACCTTAGCTGGTCTGTCAGTTGACTACCAGTTTTTGTTTCTGACCTAGAAACAAAAGCCTTCCAGACTTAATGTGGTACAGTTGTGGCTGTGACATGTTACCAACCACTAGGAGGCAGGACGAGGATGGAGGTTAACACATGGAGGTACTTTTCAGGTGGAGTATTTATCTGGGTAACATTCCTACCTCCTCCATAAGCGTCCACTTTCCCAACTTTTTTGGGAAACGATTGAAAATTTTGCACCATTTAATCAAAAGCAGAACTGAAAAAATATTCAAATTAAACATAAAATAAATTTTGAAAGGTTCAGTGTATGTATGTCCTATAATAAAAACACAATGGCAATAAAATATAAGCAAGTATAATGAAGGCAGATATATTGGTATTGTTTGTAACTATAGTTGAGTAAGGTAACCTTGCCTTAAAACTTTTCTTAATTCTCATATGTTTATGAGGCAGGAGCTGGAATTTATATAGGTGTATTTGGTGAGCCATATTGACAGTTTCCATTTCATGAATATGAATGCATTTATTTTTAACAACATATAAACTACCATAGTTTGCCCCGCCTTGGAACCTCCCCCTACAGCCTGTATATATATATTGCAGCTTCAACAATAAAATTCGAGGCTTGATCAGAACCCTGTCTTGCCTCCATTTCTTCGTGTCTCCTATCCTCTATCATTCCTTTCTAGGTGCCTCCTCGCCCACACGTTGATCTCCCACTCGGGACACTCTAGGGCCCAGGATGTGAACTCAGATCAAAGATTCAAAGGGAGGCAAGAGTAAACCGATGAATATGAAATTTGTGGGAGGCACACATCCTAACATTTCCATGTGCACCCCACATAAAAATACTACATGTGTGGAAAGAGTGATGCCAAAAAGGAGAAAACAATTGAAAATAAAAGTATGCCGTGTGTGTGTGTGTGTGTGTGTGTGTGTGTGTGTGTGCACTCTTGACATTGATGATAAGGGATAAGGGCCTCAAAAATGTTGCATCTGAACATTCAGGTCTTGTTTTCCTTGTAACTAGAGTCTTCATCCTGAATTGGAGGACTGGGATTTCAGTAACTGAAAAGTCCTGGAGTTGATTTGTCAATAATTGAAGGGGTACTGTCATAGCCCCAGGTATCATAGCAATGGAGTGAAAGGAAGGCAGAGGTCTCTTTCTCTCTCTCTCTCTTTCACACACACATACACACACACACACACACACACTATAATATCCACCTTGCAATCCCTTGTTACATCAAAGATAATCCAAAGTGAAGAATTTAGATACTCCTGTGGCCATGCAGTGATGAGAGCAGACAATAATTGACAAGAAGGCCCATTCAGTTAATTAATTAATTTTAACTTTTACTTCTTTGAGGACAGATTTGGGAATAAAAATTCTGAAAGACAAAAGGATGGTGAGAATATCCATTCGAGAAATCTTGCCCTTGCTATCTCTTTGCAGAACTGGCTTTTCTCTTGTTTCTGTAAACTTGCACCTCACTGAAAAAATAAGGCTAAACTGTGCAACAAAACACTGTTAAAAAATCTCAAAATTGTACTTCTTACAGTTACATCGTTTTGTGAATAACTTTTTTCATTAAAAGTTTTTATTGTTGACATTTTTGCAGGTGGACCTCCCCCTGTAACCTCCTTTTGCCCACATCCCAATCCTTTGGCCTTCACAAGTCTATTGTACATGTCCATTGGTGATGCACAAATGTTCTTTAGCTAACATCCTTACCTTCTTTATCCAGTCACACCCACCAACCTCCCCTCAGGTACCATCCAGTCTGTTCCATGTTTATGATTCCATTTTGTTAATCATATTATCTTGTTCATTAGAGTTCACAATTCTTTCAACAAGTTTTATTTTTTAAACCAAAGCAAGAATAGTAAATCTGAACGAAAACTAATATGTATCTTAAAATCATTTATTTCAGTTACACTGAGAGGCAAACAAAAATGAATCAGTACCATACATGATGACTAATTATATGCTAGCCATGACAGAAGTTATTGAAAATAGTCTGTGGTTTCACTTTCACAATAATACATCAGGTAAATTTCATATAATTTTATGATGTGAAACTGAGTGTGTATAATTCAGATTACTTGATCAATGCTATCAATAATATGCAGTAACACCAGACTTATAATAATAAAATTTTCACTCATACACAGTCTTGTCTAACACTGGCAGAGCTGGAGTAGTCTATACATAGCATCACAGAGATATCTGGGATCTGAAACATGAGACTTCATTAAAAAAAATTCATAAAAGCAAAACCTGCTTCATGCCACACTGACACAGCTTAGATTTCTCAGTAATTAATGGAGAAAATATTTATTCAGATGAGACACATGTTATATATTTAATGACATTTTTCTTCTCACAGTGATACTAACTATGGTATGGTTTTATTACCAGGATTATTTAAAGAAAATTAATCAGCATTCAGGTATTTTATTTAAAATTCACTGTGTATATTTAGAGAAATTGGATATGAACTCATTAATGAGGACAATAACTTACACTCCTAGTACATATTATGGTATATAATAAAAGCATAAAATAAAAACTGACTGAAGGGCAGAACAACTGCTCACTATGATATGAGCTGAGCACCAGAGGGCAGATGCTCAATGCAGGAGCTATTCCATGGTGGTCAGTGTGCTCCCACAGGGGGAGTGCTGCTCAGCCAGAAGTCAGGCTCACAGCTAGAGAGCACAGCAGCAGTGGGAGCCTCTTCCACCTCTGCTGTAGGTGTGTGGGAAGGAGGGGTCCTGGACTGTGAGAGCCCCGGACTGCAAGAAGGATGTTTGACTGCTAGCTTAGCCAGCAGAAGGACATCCCCTGAGGGGTCTCTGGCTGTGAGAGGGCAGAGGCCAGGCTGAGGGACTCCTCTCCCCAGTGCATGAATTTCATGCACCAGGCCGCTAGTTTGTGATATTTTCTTATTGCCTGGCTGATGTTGCTCAGTGGTTGAACACTAACCCATGCACCAAGAAGTAGCTGGAGCAATTCCCAGTCAAGGCACATTTCGTGGATACAGGCTCAATCCCCAGTAGGCAACATGCAGGAGGCAGCCCTTTGATGTTTCCCTCTCATCACTGTTTTTATCTCTCTCTACCTCTCCCTTCCTCTCTAAGAAATCAATTAAAACCCAATATTTAATATTTTCTTCACTCCTTGATGAATAATGAACATCATGGATAAACAGACAGAACTCTGAGGATTCACTCTGTTGTCAATAACTTCTATAAAACTTCAGGAAAAGTTGTTGAAAAGCTTTCCTTCATCTTCTCAGTCAGGGGCAAAGGACATGAGATTGTAGAACTTGGTAGAAATGTTACCTCCATACAAGTCTTTTTTATTTATTTATTTATTTTTTTTTTAATGAGGCATTAGTCATTTTCCTTGAGATGATAAAACTCAAGAATTAGAATTGTCTATGAATGCAAATAAGATTTTTGGGAAAATATGACATGAGGCAAATTATACAGTCTATTGATGAATGAAGGGTGATCAAATTGAAAAAAGAAAAAAAAAAAAAAAAAAAAGAGAGCCAGGAAAAGATGGTGAGAACGTCAGCTCAAATCATTAGATGCACCTAAGGCAAGAGGCACTCCAAAGAAGTTGGTGAGAGTGTAAGAGGTTTAAGAGCCTGGAGAACACAGTGTCATAGGGTCAGTGCCTTCCATAGGCCTGAAATATGGAGCCATTTTCTGAGAAAAGGAACATGAAGAGAATTTATAAATGAGAAACCCATTGGCAGTGACATTAAAAAATGAGACAGTGCCAGCATCATAGTCTAGGAAAACCCCAACACGACGGGGAGGAACACTCAGGAACAGGGGTATGGTCATGGGGTCAGAGGAGTCAGAATCCACAAAAGCCTTATATTCAGAATGGTTCTGAAACCCTATAACCCAGTAGCCATATTTAGGTTGATATTGAGAGTAAACATTCCTACATTGTATTAAAAATTCTGTCAACTTGAAGCCAGAAAAGCGTTTTACAGCACACACCCCCAAAACCCAGGCATACTTATCTGACACATCTGCCTCCCAGTAATGTTTTCCTGATGTAATAGGAAGTGACCCCAGGACACTGAAATCCTCATAATAGCCTTTCTGATACAAATGAAGTGTTTTCAAATAAAAGGCAGGTTTCACTTGTCTCTGATCCGCAGAAATGATAATATTTGATTTATCCGTGGGAGGATCCAGGGTCACATTTACTGTAGAAAAATTATATACCTTTATTTGTGACATTGTGATATACCTTTATTTGTGACATTGTCAGAGAGGTGTTGAGAATAAGTAGAAAATGGGAAGAATTTGGTTTGGTTCTTAAGGATCAGTACTCACCACAGAAATATAATATGTGTGTGGTGGGAGGGAAAATATGGATTGTTTGTTACATGATCTAGTAGAAAATGCCAAATATTAAAAGATGAGGAGAAGGTGGCTTCATGATACTATGATTTCTCCTTACCCCAGTAGCGTCGAACATCAGTCAGTTCTGAAATTAGAAAAAAATTCATAACATTAAGTATAGGCAAAAATTCTACATCACAAAGATTGGGGTCTCTTTAAGGTAATACATGGAAGAGTGAGGTGAACAAAACAGCTGATCACTCTCCATTGAATATGTCATCAGCATATACTATCTGTCTTCCTTTGTTTCCTCTATCTACACCTAAAACCTGACCTTTAACCCCAACCATAACAAAAATCTCACAGCCATCCATTGCTCTAGCATTACTCACCCTTAAATGGTTCCAGCATCCCTCTCAGGTCAAAAGGTTGGAACACTCTCCTTTGCTTCGTGGAGAGAGTTTTTGGCTTCTGCAGAGTGAAGGTCTCACTCCTAGGGACAACAAAATAAACAAACATACCTCTGAATTTTTGTCTCTCTAAAACCCCAATGAGTACCTGAGCCTCCATTCATGGGCTCCTGAGAAAGGAGAGCGTAGACTTCTGACCTTGGGAGCCAAAGAAATAGGCTCAATCCACTTTCCCATTGACTGCTGTCTGTCCTTGGCAAGGTGCTGACCTCTCAGAAGTAGTTTATTCCTTTCACAATGATAACTATACTCTCTCTTTCTAACTCCAAAAAAATGATATGAAATTATGTGCCACAGTGAATTTCTTTAAAATGCAAAATTTAAATACGTTAGTATAAGGAAAAGTCATGACATGGATGTAGACTCCCAGCAATATGAGAAGAAAGTGAACATGGCTGCTTATGTTTGATATATGTCCAGTGTGGGAATAGTGTCTGGGGAGGCTGAACACCTTTAAATTCTATTCTCCAGTAGGGAGGCCTCTAGAACTACATCTGAAATTTCGGTCTTCTGGGAAAAATATAACCCTTGGAAAAGAAAATTGTGGGAAATCGCCTACGGTCTTCATTAGCAGAGAGGTATAGACAAGGAGCTTGGAATGCTCCTTTGAGCACTGGCAAAGGTCAGAGCTATGCACCCACAGTTCAGTTGAGACAATGGTAGCTGAATCAATTTCCCCAGCACACAAGCATGTAAATCCTTACTGATAAGATAGTCATCCTGTTACTGGAAATTGCCTGCCTAAGGGCTATAGGTGAATAAAAGGGTGGCAAGACTTCAGCCCAAGGTCCTTCCTCTTGGGATGGCCTCCCACCTGGCCCCTCAATTTCCAAATTATTATTTCTTGTCTCATCTCTTTCATTTGCATGAGGCCTCTTCTCCAGATCCTGAATCCTGAACCACATGGGACATGAGATATTCACAGAAGATATTATAAATATGATACTAATAGTGGTCTGAATTTCATGTGCTTGGAAAAGATTAGTGTGGCCAAGTAGGTGTTCAAATTTAGATACAAAACATGATGTCTTTCCATTCTAACTTTAAAATATGTTACAGGATGAATCAATGGTTTTCCCAAGGTTAAAATATTCCTTGATATTCAACTTGGCTTTTGGAAAATAAAGAACCTTATCTTCTATTCCCAGAGAAGACATTTAAATATAAAAGAGTTGTCTCAAATTCTGGGTGCCTCTGAGGTAAAGAAGACATGACATTCCCACAGTCAATACATCACCTTTGAAATGTGGAAATCTGAGTTAGATACAGGCATGCTGAGTGCATAAAATTTATGAAGTCAGATGGGTCTGATACTGAAACATCTAATGTTTAATTGCTACTAATCCATACTCTGCAACTCCTCCCAAGTAAATTGCTTAAATAAAAGCTGGTTCATTCTCTCTCTTTAAAAAAAAAAAAAAATTAAAAAAAAAAAAATATATATATATATATATTATTGATTTCTTACAGATAGGAAGAGAGACGGATATAAAGTTAGAAACATCGATCAGACGAAACCGGTTTGGCTCAGTGGATAGAGCATCGGCTTGCGGACTCTAGGTTCCCTGGTTCGATTCTGGTCAAAGGCATGTACCTTGGTTGCGGGCACATCCCCAGTAGGGGTATATACAAGAGGCAGTTGATCGATGTTTCTCTCTCATCAATGTTTCTAACTCTCTATCCCTGTCGCTTCCTCGCTGTAAAAAAACAATAGAATATATTATAATAAAAAAAAAGAAACATCGATCAGCTGCCTCCTACACACCCTCCACTGGGGATGTGCCTGCAACCAAGGTACATGCCCTTGTCCGGAATCGAACCAGGGAACCTTCACTCCACAGGCCGATGCTCTATCTACTGAGCCAAACCGGTTAGGGCAAAGCTGGTTCATTCTCAAAAGATATGGAATACACAAACCATGTGTGAACAGACATTTAAGAAAAAACTACATCTAAATTTTTATGCGCTGAGCAACACTTTATACTAATTAATCATTATATAACTTTCACAGCTTTAAACCTCTTTTTACAGCACAAAAAGACCATTTCTGGTCTTCCATACATACCTTTTTATAGTGTCTTTCACTTCCTAGAGAGAAAAGAGAAACCATAAGTCATGAAGTAATAAGCTCTTTTCACTAATAAAGCTGACTGAGAACTTCAACAAAGAGAGAGGAAACATAAAATGGAGAGAGAAAGCATAAAAAACACCCAGTGAGAGCGGCCAGGCCCGGAGCAACCGGGTCGGGTGCAGCCAGGCCTGGAGCAGCGGCTGCCAGGCTGGGAGCGGCCAGGTCGGGTGCGGCCAGGCCTGGAGCAGCAGCAGCCAAGTCCAGAGCAACTAGGTCGGGAGCGGCAGTGTCCAGACCCGGAGCAGCTTGTTGTGGAACGAACCAGAGCAACAGAGGCCAGGCCCGGAGCAACCAGGCACGGAACAGCTCGCTCCTCGCCTGCCCCCACCCCAAGGCTGCCTCTCAGACATGGCTGGAAACTTTCCCGGGAACTTGAGGGTCTGCTGAATCAAGTGATGAAGGCTTAGATCTGGATGTGTTGAGTTAGTATAGGGCTGGGGTGTTGATCTGTGAGTGCCTTGGGTGGGGCCTGGATGAGGCTGGTGGACCTATTGGGAAATGTCTTTTGTGTGAAGTGTATCATTGGGCATGTGGAGGTATTATTGATATGAGAAAATGCTAAGTAACTGAATTACTATCTGAAAAGGGATTTACTATCGGGGAAAGGGAGGGAAGAAGAGACTGAACATAAACTGTGCACCTATGGATGAGGACAATGGGAAATGGGGAGGGGGTGGAGGGTGGGGTGGGAACCTGGTGGAGGGGGGAAGAAATGAGGAACCTTTGTAATAATATGAATAATAAAGATTGATAAAAAAAAAAAAAAAACACCCAGTGAGAAATGAAAAATACAAAGAAAAAAATCTTAAAAGTGGCAAGAGAAAAGCAACTAGTTATCTATAAGGGGGCTCCCTAAGAATCCCAACTAATTTCTCAACTCAAACTTTGCAGAAGGAAGTGGCATGAAATATTCAAAGTGAAGGAAAGCAAAAACTTACAACCTAGATTATTCTACCCAGCAAGTCTGTACCAGAGGAAACCAATGAATGTGTCTCCCTCACATAATGTTTTTCTCTCTCTCTCTCTCTCTCTCTTGCTCTTGCTCTCTCGCTCTCTTTTTCTCTCTCCCTTCCTAACTCCCTTCCTCCCGACCTCCCTCCACTCTCTCTAAAAATCAATGGAAAAAGATTTCTTAGGATGAGGATTAACAAAATAAAACAAAAAATTCTCACTTTAAGAAACTAGAAAAAGAACAACGAATTAAATACAATGTACATACACAAACACATACATACTCTCATAAATGAATGCTCATTTACATACACACACACAAAGGAAACTGTAAGTGAGAGGAGAAGCCTGTGATATAGAAAGGTTAAATATAAATAAATCAATCAATCAATAAATAAATAACACAGTAAAAATTATTATTAAAAAATATCATTGAGCCCTGGCTATTAGGCTCACTAGATAGAGCATTGCCCTGCAGACTAAAGGGTCTTGGTTCAATTCCAGTCAAGGGCCCGTGCACCACTTGCAGGTTTGATCCCAGTAGGGGGCATGCAGGAGGCAGCCAATCAATGATTCTCTCTTATCATTGATGTTTCTTTCTCTCTCTCCTTCTGCCTTTCTTTCTAGAAATCAATAAAAATATATTAAAAACCAAAAAAAAATGAATGACCTTGACCAATGATAACTAACTTGACCAAAAATAATCACAAAATCAGAAATAAAAGAGGAGCCATTACTGTTAGCATTGTAGAAGTGAAAAATATTCTAAGAAATTATAATGACTAATTCAATGCTTACAAATCTGATAACATAGAATGGACAATTTCTAGAAAGATGTACATTACCAAGAACTGATTCAAGAAATATAAAAAAAAAACTAAGAAAACCTAATACAAGTAAAAAAAAAATATTTTTAAACTTTTACATTAACATAAAGGCCCAGATTGAAGCAGTTTTACTGATAAATCTACTGAATAATTAAAAAATAAATACCACCAATCCTTCACAATTTTTTATTCCGGAAATTCAGAAGGAACAGAAAAAAATTCAACTTATTCTAGAGAAAAAAAAAAAAAAAACTCTTGGAGCACGAAGAGGTATCTGAATAAAGTCCTAGACTAGATTACAGATACAGGGCCTGCAGAATGTAATGAATCTTCTGTTCACAGTCAATTTTATACTTCAATTGATACATTAATAAGAACAAGATTTTTTCTTGTTGTTCATGCATTCGACAATTTTAATAACCTCTGAAACAAATGCAGGGAAGGGTCACTGCAAGACCAATGGAACCTGTGTCAACACCACAAACAACATAGCTCACAGCAGAGAAGGAAACTTAGCCTTAATTTCCCTTAAGTTCAGATGCTGGGGCTTATTTCTAAGTCTTACCTGAAGCATCTCTACTGTTGACCCTTGCAACTGATGCTCCAGATCTGAAATGAGATCTCTCAACAACTTTCTCTGCTGGGCCAACTCTCTCTTAGCCTGAGCCAGGTCATCAAGATTTTCTGCTGCCTCTTTCTCCAGCCTTTGCAGCTCCTTTTGCTCCTCACTGGCCAGGATACCTCTCAGTTGTTCAAACGAGTCCTGGACACTTTTCAACTCATTTTCTATTTGATCCTTCGGAAATGAGAAAGGAAGACAGGGATTCAGACTGTCAGGCAGACTGGGAGCCAGAAAAGAAAATATTTGATTTAGGTGTTTTCAGAGGGAAGAGAGATGGAAACAGGAGCAATTTTTCAGGAGGCTGATTTTTCCCATTATTTCATCTTCATCAAATTCCAAAATAATGCTCTCATGTCTACATTATTAAGGCCAACCCTGAACCAAAATGGGACACCTGGGTGTGGCTCAACTCTCACAGAGCTGCCCAGGAAAGTCACGCCTCCTTGCATTACTTCTCACCCCACAGCCTATGGAACACCTGGAACAGAGCCA